CCACCTCACCCTACTCCCAGAAATGTACCCTGGTTTTCAGTTCCCAGCTGCCTTCTTCATTCCTGTGGCCATTCCTGTGAGCCTGAATAAAGTTTAATCAAGGACAGGGTCTTCATCAGACCATAGACCTTTGTGACACAGAAGAAAGACCCCAGGGCTGGGAGGAGCTACTGAAGACTCAGGCTGGGAAGGGAGGGGAGGAGAAGGATGGAGCAGGAGGACGGGGCTTTATCTCAGGCCCTCTCTGCACAGAGATACCAGTTCTGCTGCTGTCACGCCTGGTCCTTGCAGAATGACCACCTGTCTACTACTCTCTAGAGAGCAGAGGGGAAAATTCCTCTCCTTTTGGGTCCCTAAATGTATGGGGCAGAAAATATGGACTAACATCGCACACTAGCATCCATATCCTCTTGTATCCTCCTCTAGTCTTTTCTAGAACTCTTCTACCTGCTCCAGAAAGAGTTCTGGTCTCCTCCTGGCCTGATGTTAACCTGTATTCCTCCAAGTTCTGTGGTTTTGGTACCTTCTCTAAATCAGGCTTGTGTTTGATTTGCAAAGCCAAGGTTTTGTTTAGAATTCTGAGAGCCTTTTTCTCTGTCAGGGCCCTTCTAACAGTGAATGGACTCTGGCCATCAGACCGGTGACTTCACTTCAAAAACTGTCTTTCGAAACCAAAGTGGTTGTGAGCTTACATTGCACAGAGGGTGTAAGCTGTGTTCTTCTCTAATGCTCTCGATCCCTACTTTTCAATATTTCCTGAAGTTCTTAAATGTACTAATATTTCCAATGTTTTCCAAAATCTGTGGATGGCCAGTGCAAGTCACCCGCAAATTAAATAATAATGGCACTTGTAAGAATATATTGCAACAGAGAAAACATATGAGAGGAACAGTAGAAACAATATAGGTTTTATTTGATAACAGAATCATAGACTAAAAAAATTATTACATATAATGTGGCTTTCTAATTCTAATCATTACAAACTAATTCTAAAATGATATCTTCTGGTTTAATCCATATGTACCAACTGCCACTTTATACCTCAGTGTTTTTAGGCCCAATTTAATTTTTTTCTTCTGTCACATGCATTAAACGCAAAAGGAAATACTAGTGAGAATAGTTAAGTCCTTTTTCAAAGGAATGTTGTGAAGTTCAGGGGATACAGACATGTGAAGCCTGTAACTGCAGAACTGCTCACCAAATAGAAGGCATTCCTGCCTAATTCCGTGGGTGGGCACAGAAAGGATGGACATATGGTGGGGGGCGGGGGAGGATGTGTTAATTAGCATATGGTAGCACTGTAGTAAGAATCAGATGTCAGGTATACCTGTAAGCTTTGGTCTTCCTCTGTTCTTGTTCAGGAAAGCTTTTAGACTGGGGCCTGTCAAAGAGAACCAGAGCTGGACAGCAGTTAAAGTGGCAAAAACAGATCTTACTCAGGAATTATTGCAATAGGGGAAAGGAGACCCCAGTACAGAACTGAGCACCATTCTGTTTACAAGGAATAGCAGTATTTGTAGCCAAGGAACAGAGTGAGGGGGGTCAGTGGGTGGGAAATTACCAAGAGGGGTCCTCTAGGGGTGGGAGGGGGTCTTCTCACTAAATCGGCTTGACGGGATTCTTGCTGAAGGCGGCCAGTGTGATCAGGTGTCACCTGTGGGGTGGCTGGGGATGAGGATCAGATATCAAGAGTGATCCGTTTTCAAGGTTAGGGGTTCTCTCCACAATGACTTAGCAGGATTCTTGCCCAAACTAGACTCACTAAGCGCAGGGGCCAAATTCAAGACCTGGTTGAGAAGAGGGCTCAGAGGAGCCTGAATAAAGTTTAATCAAGGACAGGGTCTTCATCAGGCCATAGACCTTTGTGGCACAGAAGAAGCAAGCTTCTATTTTGCGCTGTCACCCACCTCAATTCTCAGTTGAGTCAGGGAGAGAGGCAGAGTTCCAGCTGAGAGCACATCAGTGCCTGCTTGCTGAAGGTTAATAGTGAGATCTCCCCAGTGTAACCTCTGCAGCCACCAGTCCACTGCCCTGCAGTTGGAACCCCAGTGCTAACAGCTCTGCACTGGCCCTTTACACCATCAAATTATACAAATGTGCTGCAGGATGCCCAGAGTGTACCAGAAGGACATTACGCACAGGAAGGAGAGTGGGGCTCAGGCCCAGCATGCCCTGCTCTGCAGCAGGGGGAACCTGCCAGCACACTGACCACCTCCATGTTAGAAGAACAGTTTTATGGTGAAGGTTCCTAATAGCCTCCGTTCTGAAAACTTTATTACAAGCATATTGAACAAGGAAAACAATTCCATAGTAATCAGAGGAGGTGAATGGATGCCTGGAGCCAGCACTGCATGGCCGCCACAGTTTCTTCTGAGGAGTTAATTTCCCTTCATTTTATTAAAAAAAAAAAAAAAGAAGACTCAATCCTGAATGTATTACATATGATTTAATTTATTTTCTATTTTCTAGAAAATCCAAAGGTTTAAGGTATTGCTGTGTTCTTTTAGTTTTTGCTTGTATGAGAAATTCTTTCTACCTCTGTTCTAAATGATGGTCTTACTGGATAGAGTATCTTAGGTTGCAAGTTTTCTCTTTCAGGACTTCTGAATGTATCTTGTCACTCCCTTCTGGCTAGCAGTGTTTCTGCAGAGAAATGAGCTGATAGCCTTATGAGGGTTCTCTTGTAACTAACTCTTTGTTTTTCTCTTGCTGTCTTTGCAATCTCCTCTTTATCTTTAACTTTGGCCATTTTAATTATGTCTTGGGGTAGATCTGTTTGGATTCATTTTGTTTGGGACCTTCTGTGCTTCCTGTACCTGGATATCTGTTTCCTTCTTTAGGTTTGGGAAGTTTTTGATTTCTTCAAATACATATTTGATCCCCTTTTCTCTTTCTTCTCCTTCTGGGACCCCTATTATACATAGACTGGCACAGTTTATATTATCCCGTAGGTCAATCTCAGGTTTAAGACATATGTCTTTCAGATGACCTCTTTATTTTGAATTTCAAATTTATTGAGTCCCTTCTTTCTTTCTTTCTTCTCCTGTGTTTCCAGTGGCTGGGAAATTGATATACCACTTCAGGTTAATAACACTCCTTATACCATAGACAAAACCAAAGGTTTCTTTATTTGTACACTATGCATGGGCAAGCTATGTCCATTCCAATACAGGAGAGGAACAAAACCCATATCTGTGTCATATTAAAATCACAGGATTTTTCTAAAAGTTCAATAATGGATTAAGCAACTTGGTTAAAAATTACTCAGAATTCCTCACATAAATATGGTAAAGTATAAGGGCTGCAGAAAAAAATTAACAATTGTTAAGGTAGCAGCATTTTGGAGGATTTTAAGACTAGCAATTGAAGATTAAGTCAGGCGACCTTGTTAGGTTGGCTCCAGGGCCTTGATTTATCACTTTCATCTTAAAAAGATCTGAGGAGAAAGAAGTGCTGGATTGCAGTGAGTTTTAACCTGGGTCTCCTGAGCTGTGAGTAAACGTTCTCCGGCTAAGATATATTATAACATGAGTGGCACAGTAGCAGAGAGATTAATTGTTGTTAGTTAAGGTCGTAGTTCAATCCATATAGCAATTAAACATTGTGAAAAGTAATAGTTTGTAAGGATTGCATTTTCTCATGATTTCTTATTCTATAAGTGTTAAATTTACTCATGAAAGCCTACTTTTTATTACAATGAATGGATTCAAAAAAGAGATGAAGTCACACCCACCTGGGTGACCCAAACCATCGTTCATTCTTAGCACCTACAGGGGATGCAACAGTCATACCATAAAAGCGGGCAGGCACCTGTGAATGCTGATTGCAGGTGGTCACTGTTGGTCCTCCATGAACCAAAGCCGCAGCGTTCATCCTGATGAGGGCTTGAAGCTTATTAGAACTGCCTTTTAAAAGTTGCTTTTAAAAGAGTGCTCTTTGAAAGCACACATGATTCTTTGGCCCATAACATCCCTAAAATCAGAGAATTCTTTCTAGACGGGGCAGTAGTACATCAGCACCCAACCCTTTTGAGTCTCTCTAGTAAGTGTACCTTCTTTGCTCATTTAAAAAATCAGTATTTTTAGGGCAGTGAAACTACACAGTAGGGTACTGTGATGGTGAGTACACATCACTGTATGTTTGTCCAAACCCACAGACTGTACATCACCAAGAGTGAACCCTGATGTAAACTGTGGACATTGGGTGATCATGGTGTGTCAGCGTAGGCCCATCATTTGTATCAAATGTACCACTCTGGTGGGGATGTTGATAACAGAGGATGCCATGCAGGTGTAGGGGCAGGGGACCTAGAGGAAATCTCTGTGCCTTCCACTCAGTTCTGCTAGTGAACCTAAAACTACTCTAAAAAATAAAGCCTATTAAGAAGCAAAAATGTAAGAATCAGTATTTGTTTAGCATCTGCTTCATGCCAATCACCCTCCTGGGTGCTGGGGCAGAAAGGTTAGAAACACCAGGCAAGAGGCTTGACCCCCAAGAACGCTGACTGCTGATGCCGATGGGCCTGAGATCTCTAGTCCCTAATTCCCACACACACATACCAGCTCGCCAGCCGTGGGAATGGGCCGTCTGGAGAGAGGGCTGAGGCTCCCCACATGAAACAGCCTGGAGCAGAGATGCACTGTCCCTGCTGAGCCCTGCCCAAGTCACTGAGCAAAATAAAGGACTGGTGTCTTAAGCTATAAGTTTTGGAGTAGTAAGTTAGGTGCTTGTCATGGCCTGAATTGTGTCCCCCAGAATTCATGTTTTGAAGCCTTAGCCCCCAGGACTTCAGAGTGTGACTACATATAGACATAGGGTCATTGAGAAGTGGCTGAATAGGGACTTCAGGGCAGGCTCTAATCCAGTAGGACTGGTGTCCTTGCAAGAAGAGGAAATTTGAACACAAGACTCATGCCAGGAAGAAAGACCATGTGAGGATGCAGGGAGAAGAGACATCCATCTACAAGCCAAGGAGAGAGGCCTCAGAAGAGACCAGCCCTGTGCTCTCTTCAGCAGCACGTGCGCTAAAATTGGACGGATACAGAGACGGTTAGCCTGGCTCCTGGGCACGGATGACCTGCAAATTCGTGAAGTGGCCCCTATTGTTTTGGTGATGAGCACACTGGAGTGTATTCAGAAGTCAAATTATAATGTAACAAACCAATGCTACCTCAATTTTAGACAAAGAAATAAGAAGAAACCATATCTGCTGACAACTTGGTGTTGGCTGGACTTCCAGCGCCCAGAGCTGTGAGAAGACAGATGCGTCTTGTTTAAGCCGCCCAGTCTGGGCTGTTTTGTTATGCCGGCCCTTGCAGACTCATACACACAACAAGAGACCAGATTCGGTCTCCAAGCATTGACTTTATTCCATACAGTCCTTCAAGGTTTTGCTGTTGGGCCGTTAGTTTCCTGTTGCTTCATGGGATACTATTTCCTAGGCCTGTCTGATTTCAGTAGCACTAACACTGTTCACAGGGCGATGTCAGTCAGTCAAAGGAGCATTTTACAAAAGCTGATGGACTTTGTGAACGTCTCCTAAAACATGGTTTACCGGAACGTCTTTCAGTCAGCAGTGTAAACATACATGACCTTCCCTTTCACTCACCGAACTTAGGTGCTCGGGAATTCACTGGCCTCGTGTTACCGTTTCTGAAAGGTGAAGGAAACGCTTGCTGCAAGGAGCACAGAGCTGCTGTTGAAAGGCTAAAAAGATGAAGTGCTCAGTACAGTGTTTTTTGCAGTCAACTAGCTACATGTTTATTAATTCTCGTTTATCTTGAGGAATTCACACGTGGTAAACATGTTATGTACTATTTTGTTGGAGAGAAGTCCTGATTTTGGCGGCGGGGGTCCGTCTTTTTCTCGCTGCTTCTTTGCCACCGCTCCTCGGCAGTGCCGAGCTGTTGCAGCTGCTCCCACCTGGGTCAGGAGTGAGCCTTTCCCCAGCCACTGACGTCCGCATCCCTTCCCTGCTTGCTCGCTGTTGTGTCCTGGGAGGTGAAGACACACAGGGAAGGGGGCTGAGGGGCTCCAGAAGGGGGGTAGTGGACTCCTCAAGGGCTGGGGCAGAATGAGACCTTCAGAGGAAAACTGGAGGAAGGAAGAGGCCCGGGGCACAGCTGAAAGCACTTGATAATTATAGCGGCGTGCGGGAGAGAACCGTGCAAGTGGACACCTCACCTTGTTGCTGGGGATGGATTGTGTCTCCCCATAAAGCAGATGTTGAAGCCCTGACCCCCATGTGACTGCATCTGGAGATAGAGCTTTTGAAGAGGTGATTTGGTTAAATAAGGTCATAAGGGTGGGGCCCTGGTGGGATGGAAAAGAGGAAGAGACATCAGAGCGCTCTCTCTCTCTCTCTCTCTCTGCCTCACTCTGTGAGGATACAGGGAGCAGGAAGGCAGCCGTCTGCCAGTCAGGAAGAGAGCTCTTGCTAGAACCCAGTCACACTGGAACCCTGATCTTAGACTTCCCAGCCTGCAGAACTGTGACAAATTATGTCTACTGTCTATGTCACTGAGTCTGTGGTCCTTTGTGATGGCAGCCCGAGAGCGCTAAGACGTCTGTTATCCCACCCACGATATGGGTCAGCTTTTAGTAGATTGATATGAACACTGCTGGCCTGTGTCCCTTTCCGTCTGCAGTAAGGCAATGCTGGATTGTAAGTGTCTGCAATCTGCAGTGAAGGCTGCTTACAGGGAAGAGGGGGAGGAGAAAGCAGGAACAGGCTGCGTAATCGAAGGCACCAGACTTTAAAGTGAATGGAATGTGTTGGGCTCTTCCTCAAGTGAGGAGGCACCGGAGACAGTGAGCGCCGGAGCGGCAGGACTGACTTAGCTCCGGGGAACTCACTCTGGCTGCCTTCTTGCAAGTAGACTCAAGAGGGAAGATTCAAAGCAGGGAGGCCCGCTGTTAGGGAGGCCAGTGCAGAAATCTGGGGTAGAGAGGATGGTGGCGTGGGCCAGTGTGGTGCAGGGATGGCGGTGGGGCGAGTTCAGGATACAGGTGTATTTTGAAGGCATCCTTTGTTGGCATCTCAGCGTAGGCTTTGGGTCCAGGCTGCTGTCAGATTGGAGCTGTCACACCGAGATGCTGAAGATGGTGAGGGGCACGGTTCTGGAGGCAATTTCGCAGTCACAGTTTGGTCATTAAGTGTGAAATGTCCCATAGACGTCTGAAGGGAGAATCAACAAGGCCTAGGTAGCCAATTCTGGAAGACAGGGAGTTCTGGATTGGCAGTGCAAAGTCAGGAGGCCATTGTATACGGAATCAAGCAATCATCCTTCCTCATATGCCCCGGACAACGCAATGCCTGTTTTCCCCAGTGCGATTGTTTACATCACCCCGTATCAGTCTCAGAGGTGTCCCAGTTTTGACAACAAATTATATCATCACCTTAGTCCACCTCTAGTCCCAAAAGACAGTGTATCAAGAAGTTAGTATGACCCCCGAGAGTGTAGGGGCGCCCCAGGCCCAGCCCTTGGACCACTTCTCTGTCCAGCTTCATGCATTTCCCAGTGAGCTCATCCAGGCTCAAGGCGTTCATTACCGTCTGCGTTGCAGTGGCTCACCCGTGACACCCTGGGCACCCTAACTGGCCTCCCTCATTCCGTCCCCGCCCCTGCCCCAGCCTCCTCTCCTGGCGGCAGCCAGGATAGCACTTCCTCAGATGTCACCTCCTCGTCAGAGGCTCCCCAGGATCAAGTCTCTGCCTGTTCTCTTTAGCACTTGGGACGGCCAGATGTACTTTGATGTCTTCCCTCTGGCTTGTCTCCCCCACAGCGTGTGAGCTCTATGGGGAAAGGACTCTTTCTTCCTCGTCTCCATGCCCAGCACATAATAGGTGCTCCTATGAGTGAGTACGTGCAGGATATATGAACAACAGAAAAAGAAACAGACCCCATGGAGGAGGCCCAGTGAGCAGTCAGGCGGGAGGGAGGCAAAGGTAGTTCAAAGGCAGACACTGACGGCAGGAAGGCTCAAGGGCGCTGGGAAGAGGTTGCGGGGAATGAGGAGTGGAGAGAAGCGCTGGGTTTGCATGTCCCTCCAGACCACTGATGGAGACGTGGGGCGGCGTGGCGCCAAGAGAGCTGAGCTGGTGAGGCGTTAAGAGCACCTCGTGGTTGCAGGGACAGGTGGCGGACGTGGGGCCTTTTCAAAAAGAGGCCAGGGCAGAACGGAAGATGGAGGCGAAGCTGGTAAGACAAGAGGTGAAAGGGGAGGCGAGGACGGGAGGCTTCGCAGCACAGGTGCAGAGGTGGGAGTTCGCAGAGAGGGAGAGGAGCGTGGGGGAGGCTGGGTGCCTGGGGGGAGCACGGGGAGGGGGAGCACTGTGGGGCTGTCATCTCCCACGTCCCGCAGCATCGAAGCCCAGAGCAGCCACACCGCATCCAAAGCAGCACTTGGAAGCTGCCCTTGTGATTTCTAGAACTAAAGCTCTTCTCAGGGTCTTTTTTCCTCCATTAACAAATGAGTTCAAAATGTTTCTTTTCTAAGTCACTTATTTACTCTTCCCTAAAGAAGGAAACTAGAAAATCGGGGGGGGGGTAGAGTAATGTCTGTTATTCTTAATAAAAATGATAGTTTTAAATACATTTTCTTAAGTAACTTTATAGAATCAACATATGTATTGAGTTCTATGTTTAGCTTATGTCCTTAGGATTATTCTGTAAATCTTCCTCCCACTGCATCAGGAAGGTGGAAAGGCAAGGGACACTTTCAAGTGGTTCTCTACAGTAAAGAGTATTTTCACTCCATGTGTTTCTTTTTCTGTTCAAAAATATAGTGTATTCATTTTGTAGGGCTTTATTCTCTCACAATTCTGGAACCCCTAAACTGAAACCAAGGTGCCAGCCAGGCCGGACTCCCTCCGAAGGCTCTGGGGGAGGACCCTTCCTCGCCCCCTCCCAGCTCCCAGTGGCTCCAGGTGTTCTGTGGCTTGTGGCCGCGTCCCTCCGATCTCTGCCACCATCTTCATGTCACCTTCTCCCCTGTGTGTCTTTGTCTCAAATTTCTCTCTCCTTTCCCGTGTAAGGACACGAGTCATTGGATTGAGGACCCACACTAAGTCAAGGATGATTTGGGGTCAAGACCCTTAACTTAATTACATCTGCAATGACCCTATTTCAAATAAAGTCCCATCCTCAGGTCCTGGAGGCTAGGACTTGAACACATCTTTCTAGGAGCCACTTTGTAACCCATGACATGTAGTTTTGTAATTTGAGGTGTGGTGTATTTCTTGTGTTCATTGTTATTTTGTGTCCTGTTAAGTTGTGTCACTTAAAACAATTATATAAATAAATTAAACTGTTTTGAGTTTCAAAGAAACAACAAAGTCCAGTGTTTAACTGTATTTTCTCGATCATGTGCAAGTCATGGATGACTTGGGAATTAAAATCAGATATTCAGCTATCTACAAATTGTACGTTTCTCTTGCTGACAGTAAATCAACCAGAAAACACAATTAGTAAAATGTCTTTTGAAGAAATGCATTTTGCTTGGTGCATTTTCCATGGATTGGCACAAAACAGAACCCTGATTAATTTGAAGTCATGTCAAACTTCAATTCCAGTTGTTTCCCAGGATTATTTCCCTTGAACATAATAAGCCAGAAACAGAGAAGGGACTAGGATGCGCGGCGTAAAGGGAGGGGAGCATGTTTGTTGAGCATCTGCTTGATTAAAAGTACTCTCGCCACGGTGCTTTCATTCATCATCAGAGCAACTCAGAGAGGTGGACTGTCTCATTGTCAAAGTGGCTTAGAACAAGGATGTGTCCATGAAACAGCCCAGCACACAGCTAGGAAGCCACAGAGGCAGGATCCGAGCCCGGTGCCTCGGCCCGTCCCTGTCTCAGTGCTCTCATCTCACGGGCTTCAGTGGGAAGACAGAGCAGAAATTGGAAGCTGGGTTCCTGGTCTGACTTCGCCGCTAACCAGCTGTTGAACCTGAGTGCTGATCCAGAGGCGGGGCTGTGAAGTCAAGAAGAGCCAGGGTTTGAATCCCACCCCTGCCACTTGCTAGCTGTGTGACCTTGGATCACTTCCTCTGTGCCTCAGTTTCCCCATCTGTAAAGTGGGGGTGATATTAGCATCAGAGGATCACA